TTTTCTCAGTGGGGGTGCCCGCACCCATCTTGCCCTCCCCGGCTTGTACGCCTATGCACAGATGACACAATCATCTTTTGCAGCATCCTACACAAGCCACATGCTTCTTTGGAATTCTCCACTTTTCCCTTCTCTGAGAAGGCACTGGGTTCAGTGGAGTTGGTATTGATCCATAACATTTGTAAACGCTAACTGCACGTATGTAAGACAAGCGAACCGCTTGTTCTGTGTACTTCACTCGTGTCACATACGTGCATTTAGCGCTTACAAAAGTTACTGATCTCTCTTTGTTCATTTCCATCTCCTCCTCCTTTCCGAGCTCATGAAGTATCAGGTGTCTGCTCCTCCGGCTCTGCACATAGGCCGCTCCCTCACCTGAATTTCCATTATGCATTCATGCCTTTATATAGCCCTACCTATTCTTGTACTTCAACGCTTATTCAGCTAGGCGAATTTCCGTTAAAGAGACCCTGAAACGGTTTTTTAAAGTTTTGTCCGCGTTAAGGTTAGAGCATCATGAAACCATTCGCCCCATAAATTAAGTGACACGCAGTGTACCAAGGCCGCTAACGACAACTATATCATGCCCTTCTTCTCACCTATGCCTGACCGCCCCAACTCACGAGGCACACTGGCGATCGCAGAGCTCTCATGAGTGCGCTCGCCATTTTGAGCTTTTAACAGTCTAGACCTCCGAGATGGCACACCGACAGGTTGCGTGCAGTCTCCGAGGCCATCAAGCAGTGTGTCTAGCAACACGCACCCCGTCTGGCAACAGAAACAAAGACCACGAAGTAAGTGGCTGATATCTGCTCTGACAGATGCTGCCACCCTACCAGTCGATCTTACTTCTGCACATTCTACAGCTCATGACAGCCAATCAGATAAGCAGCCATGTTGACATGGCTGCTGACATGCTCTGGGCAGAGCATGTCGCTCTAAGAATGGGCAGTTTAAAAGGCATTCGGCCGAGTTGCAACAATCTGCACCGATTTCCAGCGATTGGCAGCTTTAAGGCGTAGTAATAAATTACGCATTTTACACAGAGTGCTGAAATCGGTCCCTAAACAACCATTGAGACTTAATGTACCAGCCCAACGTGTTTGAACAAAATCACCAAAACCGTTTCAGGTTCCTTTTAACAAAAACTCAATGTTTTATCGGCCACTAATATAAGTCAAAGCAAGAAAAACCATTACAAAGTGCCCAGCTATAATTCATTGTCATCAACAAGGACAGCATTTTAAAAAATTCACAGCAACACAGGAGCGTGATTTGCTTTACAGACACCTAGTAGCTACTTTGCGGTCCCGATTGCAATTTGCATCCTGGGAGAGCTAACAACGGCCAATATTCAACAGTGTGCACAAATTTTTCATCCTTCACAGCGTTGTTCACGGGTTTATAAAGAAGTGAAGAATGACTAGCAAATGTGAATACAGTAAAATGGGTGCTGCTAATGCTATCGCACTGCACTCGAGTATTCTCAATGTTCTTGACATCAAGGCTATGAATGGCTTGCACTGCTGGCCTTAAAACAGCCATGTTGCAGTACCGACACAATGGGATGCGTACTCTGATGTTACGTCAGTGCTATCAGTACATCACGTGCTGCTTGCTTTGTTATTCATGCATGGAGACACAACAGCATTCCAGCGACGTCGCTGTCTCGTCAAAACAGGTTAATCTCTACGTGATTAGACTGCCTCGAAGTCACCTTAGTCCCGATGTTGGAATCATGTCTTACATTCATGATGCAGGCGACCAAGATACAATAAAACGGGCATACGTTTCTGAAAAAAACATGCGCACAATAAATGCAGGATCTGGGAATACTTATGATCCAAATCGTTTAAATTCATTTTCACGATTGCGAGCGTAGCAGCCGGAAAATCATTGCCCTGTCGCAGTGGTCTAGTGGCTAAGGTACTCGACTGCTGACCCACAGGTCGGGGGATTGAATCCGGGCTGCAGCGGCTGCAGTTTGGGAGGAGTTGAAAATGCTGCAGGCCCGCGTGCTCAGATTTGCGTGCACGTTAAAGAAACGCAGGTGGTCAAAATTTTCAGATCCCTCCACTACGTCGTCTCTCATAATCATATCGTGGTTTTGGGATGATAAACCACACATATAAATCATCTGGGATATTGTATTACGCGGCAATGTATCATTGAGGTTCTACTGTATAGGTCCACACAACTCCACGAGCTTACATATTTAACAGAAAATTAGGGTCGTCAACTGTCTCTGGATTCACATTTTGAATTAAGAGACAGTGTGCGGCAAGACTGAGTTCAATTGGCAGCTGGCGCACTAGGCAAATTGACTGACGTCAGCGCAACCATGCAAAATAGTAAGTATGGCTGTACTGCGACTCCACAAACACATACCTGATCTACAGAAAGCTCCTAGTGGGTATGCACCACAGAAATGGGGCAAACATTACCACTCACTACTGGTGCATGAAAAATTAGAAAAAAGGTGAATGAAAAAATTATTAGCAAAGAAATAAATGCATACATAAATACATAACCTGCAGGTTGGACTTCTAGGCCACATAAACTGAGGTGTAACTACTTTAAGAAAGCACAAGCTAAAATTTCAAGTCCTAATAAATGTATAAATATAAAAATTAAGCAAATAAAATCCTTGTGCGACACAGCTTGGCTGGTCACCCACCTTCAAAGAGTGGAATAGCTCCAGCTTTTTTCAGAATCTTTGCAACACCTCCCCCGCGAAAACATTCACATATAGGTGGATCTAATCATTATAGCCCGCTTGGAAGATTATGCTGATTTCACTTACCTAAAAAGTCCCAACACCTGCTAACGATAGATGATCAGTGTACAGGATTGCTGACAAGTTTCTTCGGCCACTTTGTACAAATTGCAAAATATCTACTACCGACAAGAATGATAAATTATCATCGTATTCAAGTAATTCATTGATAAAAGATCTTAGCTGATTGAGAGACGGCATCCATCCTTGGAGACAAGGCATACGTTTTTCGGTTTCTGTGCAATATTGCGAAGAAACACACATCCAACACTGAGCTGAGGATAGTAGGCATTTTTGTTGTTTAAAGTTTTCTTGATCTGACATGCGCTTGAATATTTTATTACACACTTGATGATGACAGAGGCATGTTTAACAAGACAGACACGGGCGTTCCGGCAGGATATTGAAAATATTGTTTATCTATCCTTCAAATGCTTGATGCAAGCAGATAACCATCGCATATAATATCAGTTGTGATGGTGTTCAAGTAATGTAGCATGACCACTCACAATTTTGACAAAGGTATTGATACTGTATTAGCAGCTACTGTCGAACATCTGACAATTTATTGCAATACTTACACTTGTTTTAAACTTGGTCTACAATAACTTATTTCACGCATTCATAGACAATCGATCATAATGCGTAACTGAAATAAAGGGCGGGGGGCTACATGCACAAAAATGTCTTGTATGGAAGCTCCTCTTCAGGGCACATGCACGCAGCTGCACAAATTGGAAACTGAGCTGTAGAATCCTAAATATTTCACGGTTTCCATTTCATGAACACACTTCACAGCACTGAACAGAATCGCTCCAATGTTACACGATCTAAAGAACTTCAACACAGTGCTGCTCACAACAGCACTCGTACGGCGTTGCGCATTACGAATGACAACAATGACGGGCTACAAAACAATGACGAGCTATAAATTTGAACGCTCGCAAGCGTTCAAAATTTCTGCATACTATTTGCTGCGACGAACGGCACACACAGAACGCACCCGACGCTAGCACTTGTTGAGATGATTACAACTTTTCACTTCGGCGCGCACTAAACGCATATCCTGCTTTAGAAAGGTGGATGATTACATCACGAAAATCTTCAAAGTTTTTTGCGATTACACTTCAAAGATGGACGGTACTACTTAGAAAACACACGAAACGATGACACTCGCATCCGCAAACACACTTTCTACACTGTGCTCGTTTCTTCGTTTCCGCTGTCGATCGCACCTGCTGACGGGGCTGTGAACACTGGCTGGCTACCGATATCTCCCCGGGAGTTTCACAGCGCTTACGTTGGTCACAACAATAAAATCAGCTGTTTTTTTTCCATGTTGCTGCAGCGCCCGCTTCAGCAAGCGCCATGTTTGCCAAGCGAGCCGTTGGAGTGGCCGTCCAGGCCGTTTTTCGCAGGTAGGCAATGAAAAGCTTGCCATGCGAGCCGGCTTGCAGCTTGCAAAAGTGTAGAGCCGCTCTGCATGACGTCACAGAGACGGCCGCTCTCGCCCATTTGTGCGGTGCGGGTGTGCGGAGCGGCTGTGCGGCAAGCGCGTGTAACGGCCCTTAAGGATGTTCGCGCGATGCGGGTGTCTAGGCAGCGCGCGGTCGCCAGAAAAGCACCTAAAGTGCGGCCACTCGTATTAGTTCGCACCATGACTCGCCGTGGCGCTGCAGTCATCGGCTGCAACGGTGCTGGAATGTAATGTCGCGGCCCGGATACACGATTTCGCATTGCCCTTTTTTAACATGTCTCAAGTGGCCAGACTGAAAATGGAGCAAACCCTTTTGCCATCTTGGTTTATTTTGCCAACACATGTCAACCGGGTATAAAAACGAAAAAATTGGAGGTCTAGATACTGCAACGTATCATTTTTTGTATTGGTCTAAAGGGTTGTTGCTGTCATGGTATGAGCGCAATGCGTGAGATGGCTGTGATAGTCAGTATTCTTGCGTGTTCCGAAATAAATGTGGTTAAAAGTTGGCGCTCGTGCTTTCTGCGTCTCAATTTTATGTATCTTTTTTATGTGCTACGCATTTGAAGTTATGTACCGTAAATAAGATAGTCCTCAATATGTATTCATCTTGATAGGCCGAAAACTATTCGGTGAATGCGCTTCTAAACAACACGATAACTTATGCTGCCAGGAAGCGATAGCAATGTGCGCTCACGCGACGACCTACTTGGAAGTCGTAAAACATGATCTATGCAATGGGTGCAGTGCGGCCGACCATCGCCCCTTTCTCGTTCCCGAGCGGCCTACAGGCTGGAATGCGCGCTCGCCTCGGCTGTACCGTAATCTCCGGGGATCCGCCTTTCGAGTTTGGCTGGCGCAAGGGACGAGATGCCACTGGATGCGGAATTGGGCGTCCGTGCGCAGACAGACGCCTTCTCAAGTGACCTGACCTTCACAAGCCTCAGCATTAGGCACAACGGCAACTACACCTGTGTTGTCACCAACGCAGCCGCCACTGCCAGCCACAGCGCGCTGCTCGTCGTTCAAGGTAAGTGCCATTGCAGGGTAGTAGTTTCTGGGAAGAAGTCACCATGAGTGATTCGGGTTTTATTTTATTGTACTTGCATAAACATTCTTGATGGATTCTTCTCGTCCTTTTCAGTATTCATCCCAAATTTATAATATTGTGGTAGAAATATATGGACACTCTCAGCTCGATTTAGCTGCTGGCTTCGGCGTCAGCCACCGTATATGTATAGGAATCTATATATGAAAATGCAAGAAATTAAAAGAAAATCCAGAAAAAGAACCTGACACGCGGAATCGAACTTGGGACCTCCGAGACGTGAGTGCGAGGTGCCGACCACTGAGCTACTGAGAAACACGTCCCTCAGAGTTTAAGCAGCAAGCTACATATATCTACCACTTACCAATAGTAGCGGTCATCTCGGTAGGGGGGGGGCGCTATCGTGTTTTCAACATTACTAGGAAGATGGCGCAATGAGCGCGCGTCGCCACACAGTCATGCCGCGGTAGCACGCGCTCTCATCTACTATGCCTACTTTGCCCCGCGGAGAGAGGGAGTGGACGCTCGATCGCATGCTCTTATCTCACGGTGGAGAGCATCGCTCGTCTTGGCTGGCCTTTGGGTGTCGGCGGAACGATTCTGTTGCAGTTACCGGGCGCACAAAAGCCACTGCGATCATTGCAGTCTCCGATTTCCAAAAGAGCCCGCTTTTCAGACACAGCGAAGTAACAACGGAGACAATTATTCACGTGCGTCTGTACCTGTGAGTACGTTTCCTGCGCCATTTATGCGTGAGAAATACGTGGCACGTTCCCATCTGCTTTCCATTCTCCGTGTGACCTTCCACTTTGTTCCTATCGTATTCATTGCTTAGCCTACGCGACAAAGCTGTGACTTTTTTTTAGCAATGCTGCTATCACTCGCTTCATACTGTGTTCATGCCACAGCCTCCGCAAGCGAGCTTGGAGCAAACTCGGCTGCCCAAGAAGCTCGGGCCATCCTGCATTGAACCCACGGTACGAAGCTTCAGAATGAAACTTCGGTGGATGACTGCGTGATAGGACATAGGATATGCTTTCTCACAAAGCAGTAGTGTTTCAGCTCTCTGTGCGTGTTCTTCGTTGATGTACGCTGTTACTTCCGGGTCATCCTGGTTCAGAAGTTGCGGTTTTTCTGTGAACCTGCTGAAATGCGCTTGCGCATATAGCTCGGCTGACCTTGAGTTTACGTTGCGTGAAAGTATCTCTGAAACTTGATCATTGAGCAGCACTTGAGTTCGTCCACAAAGGTTGACTATGCTCGCCCCCAAATGCTTCAAGGCCTGGCAGAGCTTTGTCCTTCTTTTATGAACAGATGGCTCGATTTCGATATGTCGAGACGCCGCATCGCAGAAGCATCGCAGTCAGCATGAGAAGCGGGACTGCAATTCAAACAGGAGCTAGCAAGTGCGGCAGACGTCCCACTGGTGCTGGCGGGGATTGGACGTCTTCTTCAGGGAGCAAACATGAGACAACCGACACCGTTCATCCAGGACTACCATCTTCTCTAATCTTAATTTAGATGCGAGGAAAAATAAGCATTTCTGCTACCTGGCGGGCTCGCTTTTCAGAGGTGGCAATAGCACACGTATCCTGTGGCACTTCTTTATCTTTCTTGTGGTACAGTACCGCGAGGTTGGCAGGCAAGCACTTCATTACTACGTGTTGAGGACATCGTTGTACTGGTCAGGTGAGACGATCAAGCAGGTAGATTCGGAAACGCAGAAGTTGACTTTTTTTGGACTGCCTTCCCTGTTTCGGCACCAGAAAAAATGTCGCGTAATTGCAAACCCCAGCCCCACCACAAAAACTTTATGCTTATTCCACCTGCTCGTGCCTAACTGTCTACTTCTCTTCTAAACCACCCTCCTTCTTGTTACCACTCTTCTGCAATAATCAGCAACAATTAGGCGTAATCAGGCTCCATGTGGGTCACCTCGTTCTTTGCTGGTGTGATTTCAGTTCTTGGTTTCGCTCGCGGGGCAGTTGCCGCGTGTGTTTGAAGCTGCGGTATCCCAAGGCATGTCCACGGACCTCCTCTGAAGTAGCGCAACCAGTCTCTATACTGGTCCCCTCCATTTTTTTCTGGAAGAAATACAGATACCACTGCCACCAGTACTTTACGGTACTTCAGTCTCGCGCCTACCTCGACAACGAAGTTCCGCCTCTGATATCGCTTGTCGGAGTTCCGGCCCACGATGGAAACTCTAAAAACGACGCCGCCCACCAAAAAGCTCGACAATTTGTCAACCAAAAGGTGGGCTACTCTACGAACCTTGAGAACATCTGCGAGCCCCTCATATCCTATCACAAAATTGCTCCACACTATCGCCTCGCGCGTCGAAAAAAAAACCACCGCCGCATCCCAAACTCACAAAACCATAAGAAATCACGTCGCGCCGTCTCTAAACGAACTCGTTCGTGTTCCCGCGCGTATACGCACACATCTACCACAACCTTTTCAGTCTACATTAGACAAAATGTGACTTCGTCCCCTCTCATACACTATAAAACTGCACCGACCCCCGTTTGCTTCCTCCGAGGCATAGGAAAGTGTACATAGCGATGCAAGCCTAGAACTGCTGCTGAGGAGGTGACGACAATGCACGGCCTGACCACCATTCCTCCGTGAAATTTTCACGTGAAAAATTTGTTTTTTTTTGGTTCCCGGTACACTATTCAAGTATGCTGCAAGGAAACGAGCGTTTACGCGTGACATTCACTGTTCCAAACTATTTAAATTGCCTGCTGCAAGTACCATGGCGATGTGCCCACTAGGCCATATTTCTTCCTTCTGCAAATTAGAGAGGAGTCCACCGTGCGTTGGTTAGGCAAGCGCAAACCCGCACAGCTCTTGACTTTGTTGGCGCACTTTGTAATGGGTGGGCTTTTAAACACTGACTCATTGTGCAGTTCTTACGTGTTCACGTGTGGCGTGATTGTACGCTCCTTCCATGCAACATTAAATGCGTTAAGAGGACTTGTACATATTATTCGCATGTTTTGAAGCAGTTTAAAGCGATTACCTCACTGTTTGGTAGAGCCGTCGGCTGTATCTCGCTACGTAAAATGTTTGAGTTCCATTCGCACTGTAACTCCTAAGAAATATTTATTTATCTGTATTTCATCTGTTGGTACCTCAATGGACAACACTACTTTTTTGCTGACAACCCATAATCTCGATGCCGACTACAGAATTTCAGAGATACATGCTGTCTAACGCTATTGCGTTAATATTTGAAGTGCGGTATCCTGGAACTGACTGCGCATTCGAAGGCGGGTGTAGAAAGTTCCATATCTGTTGCATTTGTAATAGACAAGAACTAATGCTACATTAGAGACATTGACAGTGTGGGCTGTGACCTCTAAAAAGTTCGGCTAGGATCGTTTTTTTACACTATTTCCATTTACGTTAACCTGCTGCTGCCAATAATGAATTCGTAAAGTATACTTAGCGCTAAATGAACAACAGAAGTTTCACCTTGTTTAGCGCCGAAATTATTGAGCACTATATTCCGAAAAAAAAGTCAAATGTAACGTAAATGTATCGGTACGCTCGAATTTTTAAATGTAATTGTCACGAGGTCTTTTTGCAATTAGAGAACTTGCAACGAGAACTCGTTCTGAAACTTGGAAGGAACGAGCTTTCGTTCCTGTTTAGAGGTATGCGTACAACACTACGAAGGAGTAGGAATTTCGACAGTTCACACTTGTCTTTTCTATACTTGTGCGTTCATTTCGTGCCATTTTCTTTCTGTTTCAGCAGCGTGCTTTAGGCATCGTGCTGTAACACCTAGTTGTCCGCGCTTGTCCTGTTGTGCATGCTTTCTGCGGGGTGTTCACGCGGAAAATTTTGAAATGCTTGCCGTTCTTCGCTGCTGTAGCACTCATTCTTTCGCCCATGTTGCGATATAATGAACAATACATGCTGAACTACCACGCTGAACTAATCCGTAGAACACGTTTCACTTTCGTGGTGTACGGATTCCTAACAAGAGGGATAAGCCACGTTCTTGTCTTTTTGCATTGCACGGGCAGTTTCAGTAAGCAGAACAAGAGTGATACCTAACAGGCAGAAAGTTAGCAACTTCAGAATTCAATGATTTCAAAATGATCTACAATTATCACTAGGGAATAATTTGCCTACACTTGTTGCCCCAAAATATAATTATATACTGTGGGCTAAGTAAGCAGTTCATCAGGTCGCTGTAAATAGTGTGACTTGCGCCAGGCAATACTGAGTAATATGCACTTGGTTGCATCGTACTTTAGTGCACAGGCATGTTAAAAGCTCTGTACAAAAACAGCTGGGCTATATGCGCGAACTTTGCCACAACTTAGCGATATATTGTACACCCACTCCGCACACAAGTTGAAAAATGAGTGGGATGCTTGAAAGAGCACGATATCTTTTGTGATTGGCCTCCATAATCCTAATATTTGCAGCACAACCTTCGTTAACTTCAACTCGAGCGCAAAACAGAACACCTACGGGAAAGCTTTTTACAATTTACTTGAGCCGGTATGATAGCCATGAAACGTATTAGGAATAGCTGAGATTTACTGTCCCAAAACGAAGATGTGATTATGACACGCCAACGGCTTCAAAATTTGGACCGTTTGGCGTTTTTAGCCCAAGATTATTACAAAACTATTCTATTGGTGTAGTCCGTGCGCTGCCAGGGCCATGCAGCAGGCAGCTTTAAGGAGCGGTTGTGCAAAATTTCGATAAATGTGCCGTTTATTTGATTGCTTGGCACGCATGACTTTACAACCAAGTATAAATGGCATCCGTTATGTATGGAAGTTAAGTAACGACACCGAGATTCACAGACCCACGCAGTCATCATTACTGTTTATATAGGTTCTTCTTTTTCATACACCTCCAAGCACTGATCCCGTTTTTTTATTCATTTTTCCTGCGGTGATAGCAAAGAACGTTGCTTGCAGTGGCGAATTAAAGTTGTCTGTCATCAAGGTAAC